CTACAAAAACCCCGTGAAAGACAGCGCGCGAGCAAGAACGTCCCGAGAGGCGCAGCATGAACCCCAGTCCGGCTCGCGGATATACGGGGCTCCGTCACTCGCAGCGGGTCCTACTGGGCAGTGTCGTGGGGACTGGTCCACACCGGAGCCATTGTTTCAAGACCGACTGGCGGTGGCGACAGGGAAGACACGCCGGGCTTCGGCTGCGGTGTCGAAATTAACATCCAATTCTACTCGTCCAACCCTAACCGGTCCGCGGATGGCGGAGATCCCGCACGGTTTCCCGCAACCGAATCGCAAACTAAAACAACACGCGGATTGATTAAAAGTGATTTATGCTACAGCGATAACGAAAAAAAACGGCAAAATAATATCAATTTAGAAACAAACACTGCACACGTCTGGTGTCCAGGCGAAGCAGAACCGGCGGGCCGTCAGACACCGAGTCGAAGCGCGATGCTGCTCCAGGTCTGTGATACAAACATGGAGACGCGGGACGAGCAGCCCTTCCCGTCCACACGGCGGCACAGACCCAGAATCCCGGCACCAGGGTTATTTCGTACAGAATTTCATTTCTCCTTCTTCACTCCTGCGCCGCCGTCACCGGATGTGACGCAACCAGGACGTGACGGAAGGAGGCTCCGCTGCACGGGAACAGAGTCCGTCTCGCGGCTGCCGGGGCTGATCGGGGCAGGTGAACGGGAGTCTAATCCGGTTAACGGAAATGCTCCGCAAATGTTTACACTGGGGAGTCAAGACAGCTTGGTCGGACAGAGAACTGGAAACAGACAGGGGGTCTCCTGGCTCCACTGTACCCTTCCGTTACCCTGTATCCCCGATTCCTGACTGTCGCAGTAACGGGGGGACACGGTCCGACCCCCATGAGTAGAAAAATAAAAGTCCCTTCCTCAGCCGGCACAATGCTTTCCGTCATGACCAAAAATTGACTTTTGTTAAGTCATGAGACCCTTCACACTCCGTGTTAGCAAAAAGATGATAGAAAGAGGAAGAGGAGATACTTGTCCGCATATAGCGCCAACCTGAACAGCACTGCTTCACTGTATAATGTTTCTTTATTAGCCCTATACAATTTCTTGCATTAGAAATTCGTCTTTTCGCATACCACAGCTTTTTCTCCAAGGAGACAAAGACACACAGAAAGGGAGAGAAGCTTGGGGTCAGAGCACAGGGTCAGCCATTGTACGACGCCCCTGGAGCAGTTGGGGTGAAGGGCCTTGCTCAGGGGCCCAACGGAGTAGGATTCCTCTGCCGGCCGCGGGATTTGAACCGGCAACCTTTCAGTCACAGACGCAGATCCTTAGCCACAGAGACACCGTGGCACCCTCTCCTAGGGCCGTGTACAGATTAAAAAGCAATGACGCAATAAGAAAACAATATCGGTGTTAAAAACCAGGCCAGCTTTCTTCAGAACAAAACAATTGTTAGTTTTAATTGGGTGGTCTGATACATGGCAGGTAGGGAGAGCAGGAGAAGAGGAGAGACAGCAGGGATACCTAGGGGGTGAGGGGAGCTGATTCACACCTCCAGCATAAACAGATCACCCGAGATACCCAACACCACGGAAACTGCAGAGGCTGAGGCAGAGAGAGAACATCTGTCTCCTGATCAGCATCTCCGCAGCATCTTGGTTCAGGGAGTTCAGCTTTCGTGAACATGTATCGCCTACATTCGAGAGCAGCGACAGGCTCACACGCACAAACAGGCAGGCAGACAGGAAGAGAGATGGCCCACGTTTCCTGCTCTGTTCTTATATTTTTCTAAAACACCAATAAAGGAACAGCAGTAAAACCCTGACTGTTCTGTTCCCCAGAGTCTGTCCCAGAAGCACAGGGCGCAGGTTGGGAGTTCACCCTAGTCAGGACACCAGCCCATCGCTGGGCAGGTTCGCATGCAAACATGCAAACTCTGCAGAGAATGTGCCCCAATCAGGACTGAAACCCAGGACTGCAGAGCAGCAGAAATAACCAGGATACCACCAGCCACCCCAAAACCCTTGAAACCTTTGGTGGCAGGTGGTATGCTGGTTATTTCTGCAGGCAGGGTTTCAGCATTCAGCTTCTCCCTTCTCCTGTATCTGTCTGATTTAGTGCTCCAATTGTCCCTCCCTTCAGCACTGTCACACCTGCGGTGGTTTTGTTTAGTTTAGTGCTTCAGCCTGAGGTGTCAGGATCCAGAAGCAGTGACACCCAGATCTCAGGTATCCTGTAAAGATATGGGACTGGGAGACTGAGGGAGGGAGAGAGGGAGTCGGAGATGGAGCAGAATAAGGGAAGAGGGAGAGAGTCAGAGGTTGGAAAAGAAGATTTTACCATAAAGTGAACTAGACAATTTCAGTCTTCTGGAGGATACTGAAATATAACGTGACACTACAACAACTATTCTTACATTGTTAGACATAACCATGCCCTCAACCACCTTCAGCTCAGATCCGAACCCCTGGTCTGGGAGCACACGTCCCGAGCTGGCTGGCGCCTCGTGGGTTAAACCATCCCGAGCCCTCACTGCAGGAAGAGGAACAAACAAGCTTGATGAATTGGAAGGAGGCGCCGCAAGCCAACTGTGCCGTCTGCTGATGTGGCACCACGAAGCCCTCTCTGGCAGCTGTGGTACAGCCACACCTCCACCCAGAGGGCGCTGCTGCATGGCACCTTTCAAACGAGGAGGCCCGGTCCCTGCTGCAGAGCAGGAACTCGGCCTGGAGCAAGGTCTTCGCCAGTACAGAGCTCTGCTCACTGCACTGCAGCCCCTCAGATCAAACATCTGTGGAATGTGGGTCTGCGTGCTCACAGACCGCTGCCATTTTACTTGTCGTTGCCTCGACCAGAGTAGCAGAAGGACCAGAACATCTCCCCTCCCCCTCCCCCGTTCGCTCACTCTGCAGCTCCCGACACCTGGATCCCAGCTGCAAACCATTTCTCCAAGCTGGTTAATCGGAACCAGCGCCCAGGAATAATGGACCACAAAGTAAAGAGAACACAGCCATTTAAATTTAAAATAAACTTTGTGATTTTATTTCATACTTGGAAGTCATACAATCCTAAAGGAACAGGTGTCTTCCCTGGATGGTGAAGGAGGACAGGGGCGGTGTGGGGTAGGGGTCTGACGAGGGTCTTCTGGGGCCACAAGTCATTTTCCCTCAGGAGCCACATCTAGCTGAGGCAATTAGTCTTAACTGGACCAAATCAGCCCTCGTCCTCCCAGGGGCTCAGCTGCCGGTTTGCAGAGTCTGGAGAACTGTGGGTCTCCAGCGCCAGAGATCTCAGTGCAATCAGTGGCTGAAAATCTGCTTCACCTGAGCTAATTAAAACAATTACCTCCTCACAATTAAAACAGTTACATTTACAGATGAGGTGCAGCCCCTGATCACACTCTCCCCCCACATGTCTTCTCTGGCGGTCTGTGTACGTATCCTTAACTCCACCTGATCTCCAGCAACCAAGAAAGTGGGAGTCTTTAAAGCAATTATGGCTCAATTAAAATTAAAGCACCAGAGAGACAGCCCGTCACAGAGATGAGCTGAAAGGACCCAGGGCGCCCCTTCCCCATGTTGTAACAAAGCACTATTGAGTCTGATTTAAAAAATCTAATTGCTGTGCTGGATATCCATAAGACTGAAGCATGTTCTAGATTCTCTATTGTTGTTAATATACACGGAAAGGAAATACACCAATTTAGGAAAACTGAGGCACTCCAGAACCTCATTCCTCTGTCCTGGTGCCGGAGCCACAGGGACAGGTTTCCCTGAGCTCCTGACGGATTCCCCGAGTCGGTGAAAGAACTGGTGCCGGTACTGCCGAGTCCAGAGGCAGCCCGGCTGTGGGCTTTCACTTCCCCAGCAGTCTTGGCAGGGCTGTGCTCCTCGGCTCCACGACAGAAGAGCCCGCTCTGCGGTCCAGGACAGATTCTACTGGCAGAATATAATCCTCCTGCTGGCTCCACAAGTTTAAACCAACCTCCGGAAGCAGGAGAGGACACAGGCTGCTTGTGACCCCGACACCTAGAGCAGCTCCTGAGGCAGAGCACGTTAGTACTGCGGTGTGGAAAAACAATGTGCTTCTGCCCCTTTTTAATCAGAATGCAGCCCACAGTTCAAGAAACTGTTACACACAACCCATATCCTCCCGTTCACACCAACCAACTCAACAACAAAATAAATAAAACGCAATCACACAGTCCAAGCTAACTACAATATATTAATATAGATCCTCTGGTGTCATACGCTCATTAAAACAGGAAAAATGAAAGAAGCACAGGACCTCAATCACAAGGCTGCCCAAGCTCAGCCCTTCACATCCGGCAACTGCACGCACTCACAGTATCAACAGAAAAGCAAACTGAAAGCAGAGACTGGGGGTTACCGATCAACTCCACCTCTAACAGCGT